TATGTCAATTACACATTTGCGATAGTCAACACATTAATATATGTGTACTTCTTCAAAGCACAGAAAGCGATTATTAAAACTGATTTAAAATATGTTTTGAAGTAAAACTTTTATTTTGACATCAGCACAAGAAGCACTTTAAAAGTATGTTTAAGTACCTTAAGTGGCCTTTAAACTTGCAAGTACAATATATATATATATATATATATATATATATATTTAAAAATATATATATATATACACTTGAAGGACTTTTATAAGTGCACAATTAAAATAATTAAATGCACTTATTTTTAACAAGGGTTATCAAAGCCATCAAGTGCAATTTTGCACAATGGGAGTTCTTATACTTCACTTTCTACTTTAACCTGCTGCAATCCCAAAAGTGAATCTAGGCTCTGTTTCCTCTAAGATCATGTCAGGGCCGTCATTTCTGCTCTCATGTCATCTGTCAGCTCATTTGGTGGCACACTGCCTTCACTCACTGTCACTCCAGCAGAGACGAGATGACTTGGGTGAAAGGACCCATTTGCATCTGACTGTGCAAAGTATCTATTTTTAACTACAACACGAGATTAAGAATCAGATTCAGATGAACCAAATGTCTTGATGGCCCCCTTTAGACATTCTGTTGTCTAAATGTAACTTTACATGTCAACTTATTCTACTAACCCTACTCCTACACCCCTAAACAGTCTACTAATACTCAACTAATACTCTAATGAGAGTTAGTTGGCATGTAGGTCCAACATTACGCCAACAGAATATCTAAAGGGGACCATCAAAATTAAGTAAACTGCAGCCTAAAATCTCTTGGCCAGTTACTGTGTCCAAAACACCATCTCTGAAAGGGACAGCCTGCCCATGTATACAGCCAGAAAGACTTGGTCATTATTTACTCAATCTTATGTCGATGTTAGTTCTCTCGTGGACCATAAATGGACAGAAAAGAACAAAATTTAAGTTATTTACTGATAATCTTTCTTTCCAGTGAACTATTAACCACGAGAGTCATTGAGTTGAATTGATTCAGTCTGATTTGCAAACTGGAGAACTTGATTCACTTAAAAGACTAATCAGACATTGTCATTTCTCTCAATTACTGTTATTAATGTAAAAGTGAGTTTAGGCAGATTCATTTTTGTATTATTGAATAACAACAAAGTTATGATCTGTTCATTGTAGAAGACTTCGACTACTTTTCTGCAGCTTTTGTGTTTGTTTTGTTTAAGTTTTATTCTTTTTTTCTACAAAAGATTCAAACATATACAGTTATAGGCTATACATGTATATATACTTCATTATATATTATTTACACTTTACTCTCTCTCTCTCTCTCTCTCTCTCTCTCTCTCTCTCTCTATATATATATATATATATATATATATATACACACACACACACACACACACACACACACATAATATATAATAATTACACAGCATATAATAATTATACACAGCACACAAATATATTACGTAAAAACAAACTTTTATTTTGGATGTGATTAATCACAATTAATCTATGCACAGCCCTAATATATATATATATATATATATATATATAATTGCAATGGTCATAAAGGGTCATGTGTTGTGTTGTTCACAAGGATCTGATCTAAAACAAATAAAACATAATAAATAATTCTCTAAAGAGAGAAAGAGGAAATGTGATTTTAACATTGTAATAAATATTAATGATAAATCAGCAGAAATGCCAGTGGCTTTAGCAGTCTGATGCATTGAGCTTGGGAACGCTGCCATCATTACATTCATTTGAATAATGCACTGCAACTGCAACCGTCCAATTAGCTTGATCAACACTAAATCAAAGTATTAATGCTAATGTTAGCATAAGCAGCCATTGTTCAAACTGTTTCAACACTTTTAAAATGATTATTAGTGGTGTCATTTGATTTATAATGTCTGGTGTGTGTATGACATTAAACTTTATCTTACAAATATAGAGATTTTATGAAATCTCTACTACAGGGAGTGATTAAACTTCTTTGAAGTCAATTTGTCATCTATTATGAAGCAGTTTTACCATTTTTCTATCAAACCAGTAACTCCACTCCTAATAAGACACAATAACTCATATGCACGTGTAAGGTTAATAATAAAGGTGATGAGAAACAAACAATGTTCTCTGAGTCTGCAGCATCTCCTAGGACAACTTACAGTACAAGAAGAGAATGATTGTGGAAATAAAGCATACTACGAGCTCACAGCAAAGACAGACATCGAGTTCACAGACTGATCTAATATTCTGTTTAAAAATAAATGATTGGCATAAACAAACTGAATCACACAAAAAGTAATATTGCACCCAAATAGTTACAAGTGAGCCCAGTCACAGTCCATGACAAAGAAACTGCATGACATATTGAATCTTTTTATTCGGAAAGACATTTCATCAGCTGAACAATCGAATTGTTAAACAACAGTACAATCCATTGAATGCGCTGTATTCTATTCACCACAGCCCTGTTTCCATTCCTGTCAAAAAATTGAATCTAGCACTTCCCTAAGGTCAATAATGACAATATATGCCAAAACAACACACTGCTCACCTGTGAAAAGGAAAGCAGAAAGACTGTAGTCTCAGGAGACTTTTAAAATGACAGGGAAAAAGCTGCCTTTTAGTTTGGTATGGATTTTTCTGAACATGAAAATTATACTTACAACAGGTTTTCAAATCAAGAAGGTGATATTTTATTTTGTTGCACAATGTCAGAACATCTATCAGTGATATTAAACACTATTCCACTATCCCATTGATCATTTTATTAAAATTCAGTAAACTTATAACAATTCTTAAATTAAAAATAAATAAATCCATCTTACATTATCAATGAGATATCCAGCATTTATCTATACACTTATGTACACTAACTGCAAACTTTAGTACACTAAACTTTCCCCATCTTACTTTTATGAAAAAGTGGACTTAATTATTGATGCACTTTTTTACTTAATTGTACATTCAATGTACTTAAATCTTAAAATATCTTAATAAAAGGCCACTTAAGTGTTCTTAAAGTGTACACTTTCATGACTGTTTCTTAACATACTTAAGTGCTCTTTGTAATATTTTTAAATGAATAGTTGTACTGTAAATTACATTTTAAGTTTACATTTAAGTATATTTCAGTTAACAAATGCTTTTCAGTATAGTTTAACTATATTTCAAAGTCAATAGAAGTAATTCTAAAATTACATATACATGTTCTTAATTCCTACTAAAGTTCAGCAATAATATTAATATTATACTAACTGTACTTTTTCACAAGGGTAAACTTTGTCACACAAATTCACAGGAGCACCAAATAATAATTTTAGGTAACACTTTATATTACAGTATCATTGTTACATATGTTACATATAGTATACATGTATATGTACTTAAATGTATAATTCCAGTGTAACAAACGTGAAACTACACTTTAATTAACTATAGGGTTAGGATTAGGTTTAGGGTAAGTTGAAAAATTATGAATAATGTATAGTAATTACTATTGAGACTATACACTCTCATAAAAAAAGGTACAAAAGCTGTCACTGGGGCTGTACCCATTCAAAAGGTAAACTTTTGTCCATTTTAGGTGCTAATATGTACATTTTAGGCCCTAATATGTAAATTTTAGGTGGTAATATGTACATTTTAAGTACTAATATATGTACATTTTAAGTGTTAATATGTACATTTTAGGTGCATTTCAGGAGCTAATATGTACATTTAGGCCCTAATATGTACATTTTAGCTGGTAATATGTACGTTTTAAGTACTAATATGTACATTTTAAGTGTTAATATGTACATTTTAGGAGCTAATATGTCCATTTCATGAGATAATGTGTCCATTTTAGGTGCTAATATGTCCATTTTAGGTAGTAATATGTACATTATAGGTCCTAGTATGTACATTATAGGTCCTAATATGTACATTTTAGGTGCTAATATGTACATTTTAGGTGCTAATATGTACATTTCATGAGCTAATATGTACATTTTAGCTGCTAATATGTCCACTTTAGGTGGTAATACGTACATTATAGGTCCTATTATGTACATTTTAGGTGGTAATATGTACATTTTATGTGCTAATATGTACATTTTTAAGTGTCAATATGTACATTTTAGGTGCTACTATGTCCATTTCAGGAGCTAATATGTACATTTAGGCCCTAATATGTACATTTTAGCTGGTAATATGTACGTTTTAAGTACTAATATGTACATTTTAAGTGTTTATATACATTTTAGGAGCTAATATGTCCATTTCATGAGCTAATATGTCCATTTTAGGTGCTAATATGTCCATTTTAGGTAGTAATATGTACATTATATGTCCTAATATGTACATTTTAGGTGCTAATATGTACATTTCATGAGCTAATATGTACATTTTAGCTGCTAATATGTCCATTTTAGGTGGTAATATTTACATTATAGGTCCTAATATGTACATTTTAAGTGGTAATATGTACATTTTAGGTGCTTATATGTACCACTAAGGTACCAATATGCAGCCTTTGGGTACAAAAGTGTACCTTTTGAAAAGGTACAGCCCCAGTGACAGCTTTTGTACCTTTTTTTTACTGAGAGTGTATGTAGCTCAACAAGGACACTGTAAAATAAAGTGTTACCAAATAAAGTGTAACCTAATTTTATTTACGTAATTGTAGGCTAGTGAATGAACGAACAAATGAGTGAGTGAGTGAGTGAGTGAGTGAGTGAGTGAATGAATTAATGAATGAATTAACGAACGAACACTATAACTGAAACCATATGGACAAAAATGCTGGATAAAACTGTTTAGAATCCTGCAAGTTTCTGTTATGAACTTACATTCAGAGAGCAAATTCAAGAGAACCAATAAGCACCAGATCTACATGTAACTGAACATATGTTTCAGAAACTATGATTCAGACCTTACAAAACATCTGCAATTCTTCGAGAGAAAAAAATAAAGCATAAAGAAACCTTCTTTGTGCTTACCATCAAAGCTTGTTTCTAAAAGTCCAAACTGCTCCAGAACCTTAACAAAGACAACAACCACAACCAGGACCGCAATCATCTCTAGTCCCTCCAAGTTCATCATGCTAACCGGGTCAGGTCATGTCCTGACCGCTGCACTGGACAGAGAGCTCTGCCTTTAACATCATTCAAAGTGTCTGCATCTCCTAACTGAGAACAGATGAGAGCAGAGCAGAGGGGGCGGAGAGCCAAATTAAAGACAGAGGGGAAAAACCGAGCAGAAGGAGGGACCACGAGGGGAATCAATGAATAATGGCAATAAAAGAAAGGGGGGGAGACATTGAGGAAGACCTGGAGAGAAGCAAAGCCTGATCTTAAGCCCTAAAAGCAGGCGAAATCCACAGCAGATCTCTCTGAAACATCACTCTCCAGTTATCTTCCTCCTACAGACAGACACTGTGCTGATAACACCTGACACGCGTGTAGCCAACCGTCATAGCCGGGCCCGTGAAACTCATCTTCACACAAAAACAGCATGTGTCCGTCAGAGGCAACACCTCCAGGCTTTACCACGTAGACCGTATGTTGTCAAGGAAGCAGTTTTTTTATTTATTATTTTTGTCAAATCATGAAGAACAAACCCAAAAGGACACAATGATTGTATTGCTGGCAAAAAAAAAGCAGGTGTGTGCAAAAAGAATTGTGCGCCGTTCAGAACAGCATCAAAACCTTGTAAATTCCCACCGGATCTCACGAGAAAACGTAACTACGAGTTTTGGGGAAAGTTACCTTGTACTTGTAATGTGTTCCAATATTGTGTTACTTAGTTACTTTTTATGGAAAGTCATGCAATGTTACTTTTGTGTTGCTTTTTCTAACCTGGGTTGAGCTTGATTGTTTTTTTTAATGATCTATTGTTGGCAAATGTAAAGGTTCTTAGTTAATTTTTTTATTTTTTTTTTTTAATTTTTTTTTTTACATTTTTTTAATAGTTAATTTTTGGTATGTTTTAGATTACCTCAAGGGCATCCAAGATGTAGGTGTCTTTGTTTTCGCAGTAGTATTAAATTTGATATTTTTAGGTCAAACCGCTCTTGTCTGTCATTCCAACGCTATCTCACAACCAATTCGTACGAATTCGTACGAGTGATTCAAAAGTGGCTAATTTGTACTAATTCATACGACCTCATCATACGACGGATTTGTATGATTTGTCTAAACCCACGTGACGGTTATGTTTAGGGGCGGGGTCAGGGGTAGGTCATTCGTACGAATTCATACGAATTGGCTAATTCGTAAAATATGTACGATTTAGCAAAATCGTACTAGTTCTCACCGTACGAATTGTTACGAATTAGCCACCTCGTAAAATTCGTACGAATTCCTGTGAGATCGGGTTGGTCATTCACAAAATCGAAACTACTGTGGAAACAAAGACACTTACACCTTGGATGCCTTTTAGGTAAGTTAAAACATACCAAAATTAATTTCAATGTGAACTATCCCACAGGAGAAGAGGGCGCAGGGAAGTTTAACACGCTTACTTCAGCAATAACCATAGACAGTATAAGAAGTGGAACCGAACCGTGAATTTTGTGAACCGTTACACCCATACTCACACTGTAAACAAAACAATCTTCGCAAAACCTGTCTAAGGATTTCCACACAGAGGAAGACTTGCTTTTTTTCACCCAGCCATATTTATTTGAACCCGAATACATGAACGCACCAGATACACGTCAGCAGCGTCTTATTAGAGTCACTGAACGCGGATTGACAACAGAACCGGAAGACTATACAATGTAGTTTTTGTTATTTTTGGACCAAAATGTATTTTCAATGCTTCAAAACATTCTAACTAACTCACTGGTGTCACATGGACTACTTTGATGATGTCTTTATTTCCTATCTGGACAAGGACAGTATAGACCATTTCAAAAGATGTAAACAACACTGGCCCAGAAGCACTTCCTGTTTCAGTTTTATAACACTACATAAAAGCTGGGATAAAATACAACCAACAGAACATATAAAACTGAATCAAAAAGTTAAACAAACATCTTTAAGATGTTTTCTTTACATGTGAAATGAAAAAAAAAACTAGCTACAAACTGAAACAGGAAGTGTTTCTGGACCAGTGTTGTTTACATCTTGCAAAATGGTCTATACCATATATAGATTTTCAAAAGAGGGACAGAAATCTCTCAGACTAAATCTAAAATATCTTAAACTGTGTTCCAAAGATGAACAGAGGTGTTACGGGCTTGGAACGACATGAGGGCGAGTCATTAACATCGTTTTCATTTTTTGGGTGAACTAACCCTTTAAATTATGAATTTTATCAAAAAACATTGCTATGCAAAGCTTTATACAGCATGTTTTTATGTCATGTATCATTCATCCAGCTGATTACTGAGTTATCAGTCGTCAGATTACCATACGGCCTTTTCAAAACTACAAAACCTTTCTATTGTTTAGGCGTTGGTTTCTAACTTTACAGGTATCTCCTAATCCATATGAATGATTTGAGCCACTGGCTCTAGTGGGTAAGTGTTTGTTGTGAATGGCTTCTTTTCTCTTCTTTAGAATGGCCCTAATCACATTATTGTGGAGGATTTGATTAAAACAAGAGGCCTTTTGATTCGCCTGCTAATGAAGGTGTATTGTTTCTATTAAATTAGCCTTGCCGCCAAGCACATAATTGCCCGAAGTGGCAAGGTCACAATGTCAGTAAACTGTGATTTGTTCATCTTTTTTTTTTCAGACTAGAACTTTAAAAGGCTGAAATACCAATTGAAAAGCCACTAAGATTGGTTTGCACATTAACCTTAGGTTTCTCATCCAACTCATGTTGGAAATAAATATGTCACTGCCCATTGTTTTGTCTCAAGATACGCAGTTATGCAGTAAATTTCCACTGTATACTCATGTTCAAGTTCATGCCCATGCCCATGTACTTTGTTCTAGAACATTTGATGGTTTGCATTGATTATCTTTCAATTGATTATGAAATTGTAATAATACATTTACCTGACATAATAAATTGTTATATTTGATTATTCTAACAGACTTTGAATTTATTTTCATTAGAGTTAAAAGGAATAGTCAAACATCAACGTATATTGAATGACGCACAGATATCATTGAAAAACCTTTTCATCTATGGAGTCAGATAAAATAACGAGTTAATACATAAGAGAAAATGTATTCCATTTAATTAAAAATCCCTTTGCCATGAGAAGAGACGAAACACACATGAGACCTTCACCTCTAATCGAGTACCGCCATTGGATTGATTTAGACAGCCTTACAGACAGAATGATGGAATTACCTGGATTTGGTATCTCTGAACCCAACAAAGCACCAAAGGGTCATTTTAAAGTCACGACTTCTTGTGGTTCACCTTCCTGTGCTCACAGATCTCCAACCCCATTGAAACTCTCCACCTCAATTACACAATGACAGAAAATAATATAAACATACTGTTATATTATACGTACTTATCATATAATATTTCTATAGGATTCATACTTTTTTTTGCTCTTCTGAAGAGTGAAACTTGCTTGAAAGTTTCATACAGTTTTGTTATTGTTAACGAACACAATAACAAAAAAGTCCCCAATTTTGTTTTTTTTAGATTAAAAACTTAAACTTAAAAAAATAACTTTGGGAACTCATGGAAAGTTTAAGTTGAAGTGTTAAAATTAAAAGGAAATATAAAACACTATAAATACTAACACTTATAACCAGTGTTGGGGGTAACTCATTACAAGTAACTCGAGTTACTTAATCAAGTAACTAGTAAAGTAACGTATTACTTTTCAAATTTACAACAAAACATCGGAGTTACTTTTTCAAATAAGTAATTGTTTTCACATGTATTGACTGACAGCTCCTTCTGTCCTCATGTTGAGAGAAATCGAAGTACAGAGGCGTTGCATAAATATTCCTCAAATGGCGTTAAAACAAAACATGTTTATTTCGGGGTTGGTCCACCAAATGCGCATGCACAGTCCTAAAGTGTCTCCTGCTCCTAGCTCATGGACAGCTCCTATTCACACTCTCCGCCTCTGCAAGTTTCGGAAGGGAATGATTCTGATTTCTCATGCCACCGCCACTATAGAAGACAGACGGGGCGCTCACTTCACATCTACGTCGTCAAGCTCTTTTTGAGTCTGCGCGTCAGGGACGGAAGTCCTAAAAAAAAAAAAAAAAAAAAAAAAAATCGCTAAAAATGGGCTTCACTTGTCTCAATGGGCTATATGCACGCATAAGTTCCGCATTTGACGTAAGGATGCTCGTCCATTTCCGGTTGTGTAGCTTAAAGCGGAGGAAAACCGGAGAAAACGGGATTATGGCAGAGTCTTCAAAATTTACTGTCCTCCCGTCTTTGAAACGAAACGTACATACGTTTAGATGTAATTTTATATATACCCAGACAGCAAACTGACATTGAATCAACGTGGAAACGACGTCTCTCATGACATTGAAACAACGTTGATTTTGCTCATCGAATTAACGTTGAACCAACGTCAGACGCGGCATTCTTCAAAGCTAAATGAAAATCGAAAATTGGTTTGCTTTCATAACGTTGAAACAACGCGTTGATTTTAAGTTGATTTTCCGTTAGTTTTGAAAGAATGACGCGTCTGACGTTGGTTCAACGTTAATTCGATGAGCAAAACAATGTCAAATCAACGTTGTTTCGATGTCATATTTCCACGTTGATTCAATGTCAGTTTGCTTTCTGGGTAGTTATGTTTATTTAATATAATTTTAAAAAGAAGCATAAACACAACGAGGGGTGTCTGTTTTATCTGTTTTTGTGACTAACGTTTCATTAGTATAACCATGGAGTATAAAATTCAATATAAATTCTCGGTATTGCATTGGACTCTATGATCGGCGGAAGTTATCGAGCATCCTTAATCCTTCACCGGAAATACCCCCGTGCATAGAGCCCATTGAGTTCCAATGAGATGGCTCTGTCCACTTCTTATGTCTATGGTTTTAATGAGTCTCACTTGTTAACTTTCTGTGTGAGGGCGCCCTCTGGCTTCCAGTATGTATTACACGTAATGTCACATACTCAATAACGCTCACTTCAGCCGATTTAAGGTAAAAATAGGAAAAATACTTAATTTTTTTTTTTTTAGATATATGTGAATTTACCCCCCCCCCCCCTCCCTATTAGAGAAGTCCTCACAGGAGTTAATTTATATTATTTCCAATGAATCACTTGAACTAGTTCACACTTTAAAAAATGCACAAGACACATTAAATATGAAACATTTTTCCATCATATAATAAATTCCAACATAGCCAATCATGTGCAGCGAATGGCACAAGCTGAGACTAAAGATTAGCACGACCAGATTCTGATTGCTCCACAAGCACCCAATGCATTTAATTATTGTCCTCCTATTGTGCTCAAGCACGTAAAATCACGTGCATACTGCGTATGCATTCATGAAAGAGCGCATACAGTGCCATTTGATCTTATTTAGACGGCTTTCTGAGGTCGCGCATCTACAAATCAAGTTGTTCCAAAGTCCGGTATCCATAGAAACACAGAAAACAAAAGGATCCATACACAAGTACGGAGATGGGGTGTCTTCATACACACAATATGCTCATGTGTGAATCCTTCATTCACACTCCCCTTTCACTATACACAGGTGAGAAAGAAAGAAACAGATAACACACACACACACAGGCTGTCTTGTCTGAATGATTACTTTAGCGAGCCGCACAAAGGCTGCCATCAGTGCCCTGAGCTATATTTAGAGGGAGCTCAGCTGCTACAAATAAAATGGTAACAGATAGGACCCTAATGACAGCGGCCGCAAGCACACTACACAGAGGTCATTGCTATGAACAGCACATGATTACGTTTTTTTTTCCATCATGAAAAATGCAAGACTGAAGATTGACAAATGGATGTAAACGTCATTAGAAGGAC